TCCGGCACTGTCATTTCGATAGACACCCCTCTTTAATACCCTTCGATAATTGTCGATTCGTTGAAGCCCCATCACCCAATGAATAAGACTCGACGGCCTCGCCACTCTGTGAACAATGATTAATGATGGCTTTCTCTTCTCCAATTTCCTTCCCATTATTTATATTTTAAATTCATTAATCGAGTGAAAATAATGAGTACATTATACTAAAACTCCCTCGACTACGATATCCACTTGGCAGAAAAGAAAAAAAAAACTGATGATTAATCCAAAGGTCGTGGAAATAAAACACTTGCGTTCGTTGTAACACTAGACTTGAATTATAATAATATTATCGCCAAAAAAAAAAAAATGATTCCCTCGGTAATCACACATGACTACAGACTATCTCAGATCGTAAATATCATGGGCAAGGCCTCAGTTGAGTCCTCCCACTGTATAATTTCTATATATTTATGTATACACGATACAATCGAATATATTGATGTTTGTATTCTCTTTATATAATATATATATTTGCGGTTTTTGTAGCGTTAATCAATCATCTAACCACTGCAGTGTAGTATATATATGTACATTTAATATCTACACTATCTACACAACAACAAACAGTTAGTTAGCATTGTTTTTGGTAGCATCTCCTTCTCTCGGTTGAGGTAAGTTACTCTCATCTCCTCATCGATCCATCAACGTGTCAGAAAAATATATTTCTCCTCCTTCAAACTCACTTGATTAAATAAACGTCTGGAAATTCCGCAAAACTCGTTTTATTTGCAGCTTTAGAAGAAATAATCGTTGATCTATCGGCGGGTACAACTAACATCAAACAATACAAAATAAGAAATAAATATAAATAAAAAACTTTACGATAAGTCTATCCATCAGTAGACATTCAAGCAACTCAACTATTCGTCGTCATTCATTAATCTGTCTCCAAATCTCTCTCAAAAATACGAAACTCTCGATTATCGAATTTCATTCCATGATTTCATGATGAATTAACTCCATCGACTCCACTCCACTGGAGAATCAGCTGTGTTCTGTATCTTTGTGGTTAGTGATATAGATATAATTTCTCTCTTTTCTCTCTTCTCTCTTCTCTCTTTCTCTCTCTCTCTCTCTCTCGTTACATAAATCTCCATCTTGAATGTTTGTAAAATGGTGATTAAGTCTGATCTCTCCTGATACTTGGATTTGTCTTCCACTACAAATCCCGAGCTCAGGTCAAATTAGGCTCCAGTGTTGGGATGGTGGGACAGCAGGTGGCCGAATCCTATATGAATGCCCAACACTCGAGGGTTTTTACGACAAAGTCCTCGTGCGGGGCCAAAGGCTCGTTACCATATGTACTGCAGCTTTGAGTTCGCCCTTGGTACAAATCACCGTCCAACCACAATCCGAATTTCCCACTGAAACCGAATAGAAAAAAAAAAGGCTAAATAGAGGAAGGACAATTGAATTTGGATTGAATTTGGATTGAATTTGAATTTGACGGTATGGGTATGGGTATGGGTATACGGGTGAAAATAGATGAATTTATCAAATGGATTAATACTCACTCTCCGGCCCCTATAGCTAGGCTCTCATTGTTTCCTTTGATGAAATAGACATTGTCCCCGGTCCAGTTGAACGCTTGGAACCTCGGAGTGAACCTGAAGAGGAGAGATTCACCTGTTCCATAGAAATGATCACTCACGTGGAGAGAGCATGAGGTGAGCGCACCAAAAACCTTTGTGACAAACAAGAAAAAAATAATAATACTTATAATATTTATAATAGTGTGCTCCGTGGAAAAATAGTTGAAGCTCATTCCGCATGATTGTGCATTGTGGCTTGATAATTGTAATAATAGTAAGTAAGTAAGAAATCTGAAGCTTCAACGAAGGTCATTTTTCATTAAAGTGCGCTGATCAATTGAAGAAAAATAATTGGCACAAGTAGAAGAAAGAAAAAGGAGGAATGAAATAGGAATAGGAATAAAAAAAAAATCTTACGTTTCCCTCCGTATCCTCAATGACTAGAAGTATGGGGCTCTCAACTTTGGCCATTTTTCGGTACATACTGTTGAGACTGAAACCATGCTGACTAGTACTAAAAACGAGTGTCCATAGGTACCCTTCAGCCCTGGCAGGCAAATGTCTGCACAGATTCTCTCTGTGCTCATCCTTGAGTATCTCAGTTGCACCAACTAAATCAGGTACAATAATGTCAATGTCAAGAGATATTGCACTGTTGGCGTACAAGGCTCTCCGGAGCTCTTCACTCATGGACAACACCTGAAATAAAACAAGGCAAATTCCAATTAGAACATAATCACAATTTTTACCAATTGATGGTGTTTCCAGTTGACGGTATTTTCCATTTAAATTTTGGTTGGTCGTGATTTTTCCTATTTTATATTTTGTACGTCTTGGTCAAGTGGAAACACTTGTCAAGTGGTATTTCTCCGGTGATTTGCATCGCAGATTACTCAAGGATAGGAGGCATCGAGAGATGGACATTACATGTCAACATTTTTATTTGAATTACATGATTTGATGATTTAATAATGAGGGAAAAATGTCTGGCAATGGGCGTTACTCCTGACCCACGACTACGATACCCCCGACCTTGGGCTCCACTCAAGGTAACTAATTAGATACTAGATAACACTCTAGTTGTACTATTGCTAAATTCTAACATCTACCACACATTATTATTATTAATAATATTATTATTTCTATTAACATCCAGTGTAGGTCATTTGTTCCTGTGTTTTTGTGATTTATTCGAGGGAAGAAGTGCAAATGGAGACATCGAGTGCAGTGATTTTTTTCCAATGCCCAGTGCCTTATTTATTATTGAAAATGAGACAGGCCCCCGGCCATGGAAAGATGAGTTTTTTTTTTTTTTTTTTTTTTAAGGATAAATGATAAAGATCCTTAAGAAAATTCAAGGGCGAAAAAATGGCATACGTTTCCCAGTGGCCCTGTGCTCAATATCTCAGTTTTACTCCCAGGTGAATACACAAATACGAGTTTGTCTCTCAACATTACATAGGTTTCCGGGAGATTTATGGAAAGTATGACCACTGAATGGAAAACCTTGACAACCATATTGGCGAATAGTAATATTTATTCAGACTGAAATCACCGGGAAAATCATAAGCAAGGAGTTTTTTCGTGAAAAAAATTTTCTTACCGAGAGCAGGTGAGACGAATGTTGAAAAACATAATTGAGTATGGCATATGGTTCGGCAATCATGGTAATCACAAAAGAGAAAATAACAACTCGCAACTTGAAATGAAAATGAATTGGAGAGAATGTATCTCGAAGAGAGGATAGAGTGCACTGAGCTCGGGAAGGGGCAGCCCTTGCTGTTTATTCCTGTGCTCAGGGCCTGTCCTCAAAACGAGTTTCTGGAGGACTCCCTTCACACTTTCCATTTATCCAAAAGTAAATGGGGCTCGGAGTCTTGGCCTCGGCAATCAGAATGGCGCCAACTGGACGTTGAACTGGCTTTATTATTAAATTTTCGAGACAGACTGGAGGGAAAATATTTACCAACGATTTTTCACCAAGCGTTTGGATCAACACCAGAGACGATAAGAATAGCCACTTGGAATGATCGATTGGAAAATCAACGAATCAAATCAATTGATTTTCCATTTAGATTAGAATCTTTCAATAGTGCGAAAACTAAAGTTGACATGACAACATCTTGGATCCCTCATTTTTAATATCAATCGACTATTAATGAAAAAGTCAAAGTATATTATTTTATCGAGATAAAATTTCAATTAGTGGCTTCGCAACAAGATTATCCGAGGGATCCTCAGGGACTGTCCTGGTTGACCCAAGGTGATCAGGAAATGCAGCGGCCCTCTCCAAATTATTGTTTCTCCAGTGGAAATAAAAACGTCAAGGAAAGAGACTGATACTGAGACTAATGATAATGAGTGCACGTGCGTAGGATGCTCCCGTTGAACAAGCATGCACATTTTATCCGCGTCCAAATGTTTTTTCTCATAATCTACCGTTTTGTCGCAACTGCTTGAATTCCAGAGGAATTCGGCCTAATCGGGCTACAATCCAATTCATTTTTTCAATAATATTCATTTCTAAATTTAGACTTTCTCCTTAATAGCTCTTTGATAAATTATTATCTTACCTCATAATTATACTGCGAACTATTTATAATAACTAAAAATGCAATAATTATAGGTATTAAATTATATTTTTATATGTGATATGTATGTATACCTTGGTTTTTTGCTTAAGGAATTTTGAAATTTTGTTGATTGGATTTGATAATTTAGTCTTAGACATGATTATAAAATCCTCGATAAATGAGCTGAATTGATTTCCGTGAAGAAAATTGTTAAACAGCCGCACGAAAACGAGTCAATTCCACTCAATAAGTCTCGCAAGTTATTAAAATATCAAATTTTCATTGAATTTTCAAAATCTTTTCAATTTTCACTGCAGACCAATCGGTTACAACTGACTGGATTACACCTGCAAGTATGCAAATAATTGCAAACCAGAATAAATAATAAGAATAAAAAGTATCGGGAAAAATGTCACGTATAGGTGGTATCTGCACTTGAAGAAAAAAAATTCTTCACTAAGATGTTTCTCTGCTCTGTCACGTAGACATTGAATAGAGCTTCACTTCTTGAAGACTGAAGCAATACTGGGATTACAGCTGGGGGCTTCTTGTTATAGAGGACCGCCTCGATAGCGCAAACAGTTACATATGTATATATTAATGTGTACGGATCCTCACATTTTTTTTAATTTAAATGCGCAGCACCCACAGCGCACCACGTGCCTTTACTTATGTCGAGACACTCATCTTCACTTTTGAAAACTTATCACTTTTTCTAAAGCAAAAATTTTTTTTCACCAGGCATACATACTCTGCGTGAGTGTACGTGACTGATTTCACGTAATTCATTCAACATCTAATCACTATGTAGACATTTATAACCGATCGAAGATCAATGCCAATTAATGGTTAGGGAAATTCTATAAAAGTTACCCCAGGGAAGCGCATTATTATATCTCTTCAGGCTTTCGTCGCCTGGAAAAATCATTGAAACATCTGTTTTTTTTTTCATTCATTTTTTTTTTATCGGTGCCAACGATTTAGCCGAATAATGAAGTAGGACTCGAGAGATGATAAACAGAACAAGAGGTGAACAAGGTTGGATGAATGCCAACATTCAGCGACCGCTCGCTGCGTAAAACGTGAGATCTCTCGGAGTTTATTCATGAGCTCATTACTCTGTTTCAATGACGAGTAATTTTTGTGAAAAGGGGAAAATTTTTTAAATTTTCCATTGTCGATTTTAAGTGATTTTTTCCTCGATTTTAATTTTAAGGTCTGTCCTTCTTGGACCACTTGCAAAATTTCTACTAATTTAGTATTTGTCTGATTAAATTTACTCATCACCTCGAAATTCCCTCAAACTTATTTTGGATCTTGTCTCATTAGCCCTTGAACTGGTGAATTGAACGAATTGAGTGTTGCGATGGGGACATTCTTGAAAAAATCCATTGGACATGCAAAATAACCATCGACTTAATTGAAATGGAGCGGTTGTACATAGTTGAGGCGTCGCGCGTAATAATAACAAGGAGTAATAATTTTTTCGTTGCAATTGAACGTCGAGTTAAAGCAGAATAAAAAATGGAAAAAACCGAGAAAAAGTGTCAAGTTGCATCTAATGAGTATAGTGAGGTTTTTCTGGTCGATTAAACAGCGTTAACTGGTGGAAAATACTAATATTTAGATGGATGAAAAAAAAGGTAGAATGAGGTAGTGGGTTATGTGCTGGGAAACAGACAGCGAGAAAGAATAATGAGTGCAGACATCCAGTGTGTTTGAAGAATAGAGAAATTACGAATTTTGAATGTCTGTTATTGTTTGGGGTGTTGGGGTGTTGGGGGTACCTGGGAGTCCTGGGGCTGCTCTGAGTCTGCCGACGTACTCGAGACCAGCATGCTGCATAACTTTACGTACGGCGCCTTGAGTCGCTGAACGCCCCCAATACACATGGTCACCAAGTTATTTTCAACATCTCTTCATTATTTAGCGAGCCCTTACCATTAATTATTTTCAACAAACTTCTTCAGTCATTGTAAACAAAGTTGAAGAAATCTAATCATCTTATCACAATTATCGGTATAATCTTTTCATCTATACCACCTTGAATACTCAAAGGAGGTTATTAAAGTCTCTACAAGTTGTGGTAATTTTGCCGTTGCTTGAATAAGTCATGACACTCGATAATTCTCATTTTGGCTCGCTTGAGTGAGGATGATTGGGTGTCTTTTCTACGTATTGTTTTTTTTTTTTTTCCTCTTTATTTCGACAGTGAGAACAATGAAGAGATATAATTATCATTATTGATGATAAAAATGCTTGAATCTCTTCATTAAATTCAGCTTTAAAAATAGCCTGGGTAAAGGGCGAGGGGGAGAAATGAAGGCTAACTCACCTCCCACGATTCTCGCGTGAGTTCACTAATCTCATCACCGGTTTTGCTCTCCTCGATGAATTCACCGGGTTCTCCCCCTTCCTGGGGGGAGGCTTCCGGCGATAGGTCTGTGTCGGTATCTGAGAGGATATAACCACGCTCGATCCAGTAATTTTCATCAAGTTCACCATACAACGCTGGCACCCACGAGTGAATGAATCTGAACAGGTCGTCCACCCTGCGATGAACATTCCAGGGTAAGTAAATTATGGGCTCAATGAGATACGGTATTACCTGGTATGGAAGAGGGGCATCAAGAATTCAATAAACACGCGGATGTGTGGGCTATCAGCTTGGCGTTGTACTGGACTCATTAATCGCCACAATATTTTCATTTTACCGAGCCGAGAAATTATTTTCCATTTATTTATTGATTTAAAAAAAAACTTTTTGGTGAAAACAATTATCGCAGATAACCTCGATATTTCAGTGAAATTTCACCAACGAGAAATGTCAACGTTGAAAATTCATAATAATATCATGTGCATGTGTCCATTCATTAAATCGATACTCAGCTCAGTGTATCGAAATTTTAATTGAAAGATAAAAATTATCTTGAGTGGGCAATTTACAAGAATAGATCAATTCCAGTGAGTGACGCACTTGAGCAACAGTCCGAGTTTATTTCCTGATGGGAATCACGTAATATTTTTGTTAATCTTGGTGTTTCTCTGTTTTTTATTCAAATGGACTGAGTATTGTGATGGGAGTCAATTATATATTCAGTTGTGAAAAAGCATTTATTGCTGATGGGTAGAAAAATAAAAGCAGTAACTCGTCTTGGGAGACGATGAATTGAGTGATAAAGAAAGATAATCTCGATTAGGAACTCTCGGAAGGATTCTCGGTATTGATTATACCACGATGACACTTTGCTCTCTTTTATCTTCCTCCAATTTTCTTATCATTATTAGTTTAATTATCTTGCCAGGTACAAAGTGACAACTGTCAATTCAAGGGAACATTAGAAGTCTTTTCCGTATTTCTCACCTGTTTCGAGGAACACTGAACCAATACTCGGGTCGCAGTTTCTTTTTGCCATAACTCATGATTGGGGTGGACTGAGGAATCTTCTTGCCCTTTAGTCTACCAGTGCGCAGCCTCAGGTACAGTGGTGGATCCTCGCAGCTCCTCGCCGGTCTTGGGATCAATTCTGAAAGAACGAAAAATTCAATCCCTGATTTCATTATCAACCATACGAACGACAAATCGTGTCATTCGTGTCATTGGTTTATGATAATATTTCAAAGTTTTGCACACAACTCACAATCAGCAGAGAAGGAGAAAGAAAATGGCAAATAACGATTGGATGTACATTTAAAGAACCATTCGATAACTCTTCCTTTGCCAAAAACTCTAATTTACAAACACAAACTGGAGAATTATTCTCATGCGGGGGATAATGTGCATGTCTGTGTTGTCCTGCAGTATTGGGCCATGAAATGAGTAACAACAATAACAACAGCAGAGATAATCACCAAGCGAATAATGTAGGCATATGGGATCATAGACTTGGTTTTTGTCAGTAGCACAAACTCAAGGAAATTATATTAGGAAAAAAAATTTGGAAAAGATACTAAAACCAAAATGATTTTTCATTTGAAAAAAAAAAAAAAAAAGAAATTGGAAATTCGAGACCAAGAAAACAGAGTAAATAATGGTTGTGCATTAGATGTTGTGATTAAATCAGAGCAGACAGAAGGAATGATTTAACTAATACAGTATGAACCTACCGAGGTCTTCTAAGTCGGGGAAATGAGGTGCTTGGACTAGAGGGATAACAGAAACAGATGAGATTACTAGATTAGTATGAATTTTACCTAATTCATGTAGTTCAATGTTAATGACAATTTCATTAAATTTAAAGTAGTATGGATCAACTTCATTCATTTAATTGACTTTAAGAAATAATTATTTATTTTGATTGATTGTCATTTATATGACAAAGGGTAATATTTTAAGATAGAAGAAGGGAAAAATGAAATGAGAAGCTTTTTAATGATAGTAATTGAATGGAGTTTTACTCGTACTATTTTAAAATAAATGATTCGATTGAATGGTTCAACTTCTCAAGGCAAATAATGAATATGTCAGTTGGGATGAGTGTTGCGAATAAAATCCATTCTAGGTGGATGAATGCATTGAAAGATGAAAATACTCACTGTCAAAACTGACGAAAAGCTCGGGTTTATCATCGACAGACACGACACTGCGGTAATCCACCCTCGGTGGTTGTGTTGATATTTTGTTTCCACGTGCGCTATCGACACTGCTGCTGCCCGAGGAGGTCAAGGGCTGCTGACGAATAAACGTACCCACAGATGAGCGTCTGCAAACAATATTCAACTTCAATCAATATTCAACCAATTTGCCAGCCTATCCAAGATTAAGAGGAACAACATTAAGAGGAAAAAACATTCCAAGTTGCATAACAGATACAGGGGGACGAAGGTGCCACCACCGGACAAAATCGACCCTAGAGAATTTCTCTTCACTTTACTTTTCAAGTGGGTCAAAGTGGTGAAGAAAAAAAAAATGAATATTTAAAAAATTGTTCATTGTCATCGAGTGTCGATTTTGGCAAATTGGCTTTTCCTTATTTTGTTGATTATCATGAATCTGTTGGCAGTGTGTTGCTTGTAAGCAGTCTTGAAGGATCCACGAAGGAGATATTAGCCTGTAAAGAGTCATAATGCATCTAGAAGCGAGAGACCGAACGACAGTTGGACATTCAGATGAATCGACAAGAGATTATTTGGACAATTGCAACATTAAGGAAGAGTAACATTTAAAGCCTTATTGTGTTGTTAAGTATGGTTATTCGAATAAATGTATGTTCTGCTATCGAATCAAACGATTAGGCGTTCACATTAATTTTAACTTGAATGAACAATTATGTTGTTTAATTGAAGAGGATCGTTTGATTCGATGAGATGATATAAGCATGGAGGTGATTGAATAAAAATAGTTGGAATATTTGGTGGGGAAGAGGATGAGGGCTAGACTCACCCCAAGAGACTAGTGGGCCCTGGTGAAAATTGATAGCTGTGGTCCTGGGAGAGCGAGGAGGCGGTAAGAGGTGGTGTACTACCAGATCTACCGCCTCCGCTGCTCTCTTCACTTGGCGTTTTAGCAAACAGCCCCGAGCTAAAGTCACTCACCAGGTTGATCGGCGAGCTTATTTTATCCACCACCATTACACAGTACTCGTTAGTTAACTCGATTCACTCATGGGTTAATTATCGTTTAAGCTGACGGCAACAGTCGGGAAATCTCGACTTATCCACTCGTCAATGATAAGCTGAGTTTTTACCTATTTATTACTTTTTTTTTTTTGTAGGCGCACACGAGACATTCCATCGAATTAGTTGAGATTTCCCTCATTCATTGTTGTTGGTTAAATAAAACTTTAAACGTCACGCATTTAAGCAGTTGAAAATCTCAATGCCTCAAACAATGCCAAATCATGAGTTGAACGATTAAATAAAATATTAGGGATAAAAATAATTGTTTAAATATACGGGGATGGGAGATCCCCCGAGACTGGCTCTCTCACCTCGAAAAGACTTTACTGAATACTGACGAGTGATGACTGTCTGCACTGTTGGGGAGACTTGCTACTTTATCAGGTACTGATTTAGCCTCATCATCTTTATCACCGGTGAGACCTTCCATCCAGGACAGAGGATAGGACAGCCTCTTCAACATCTGCGGTAAATTTGAGTTTTCATTTTAACTGTCCATTTGAAATTAATGGATTATTAAAAAGCTTTCTCATCACCTTGTTTTTGCGCGTCTCCTGCTTATCGTCCTCGGGTTTATGCTCCTCATCCTTGTCAGGCTCTTCAGCATTACTATCGAGACTGAAGGATACAGAGCTAGCCTTCTTCCTCCCATTGACAGACAGACCGGTATCCAGGGTAGTGGTACTCGTAACGTTACTCGGTGCAATGGTTATCGGTGGTACCCAATCTGACGATAAAACTATTTCCGCGTCGGAATATATTTTTTTCGACGGGATAGGTTGCACTACAGGAATAGGAGGAATAGGTTCACGTATGTCGATACCAGAATCGTAGCACGACTGTTTGACTAGATATCCCTCCTCATCCTCAGGTATGGCATTTGGTTTTGACGACTCGGCTTGCGACTTGTCTGAATTGATCGAGTCCTGTTGTTCGTCATCGACAGACATGGAGTTTCTGTCTTTGCTGGGTACAGCCCAGTGATGATCGAGAAGAGAACGCCTGCGTTCCTCCAGGCTCCTCATCGACTGGGCGCTCAGCTCACCACTCACCGCCTCCTTCTTTTTCTCCTTCTCCTTTTCCTCTTCCTTGCGTTCATTTTCCTTGTAAGCAGGCCCATCATCGGTGTGGAGGTTGGTGGGTGTAACGAGATCCCTTTCAAAGGCCTTTGGAAATGCATCGCCCTCACGCTCAGCGCAGCTGCAGACACTCTCATTATCATCAGTCGTGAATTCGGAAAAATTCTCATCCTTGCCAGGTGACATGCATTTTCCACCCTTGGTAGGTTTTTCCATGTAGTAAATTTCTGGCTTTTTATCAGTACCAAGAGCCTCTGTGTGGCTGACCCTCATGTGAGCAATATCATAGTATATTGCTGCATTTACAACAAATTCCATCGGTGCTATAACACCGTATGATTCAGCCCCGTGTTCAATTACCAGAGGATCCGATACGTTTGGATCAAACATTACTGCATTTGGTGTTACCAGGAGAACACCACCGACAACTCCCTGAAAACCATTACTTTATTTTTATTTTTATTTATTTATTCATTTTTCATGTGGTGAAATACACGAGGAAAATATTTGTCGCGGGTACACCTTTTGTTACTGGAGATTTTGCTCAGTCATAAAAACATACCTGTCCGTCTGTGATATGACGAACATTTATCTTCAAGAATCTCTCTCTATATACCGCTTCATCCCCATCCCCAGTGCGACTGTCGAGTGGCGTTTTAATTCGCTCCGAGTGACCTGGTTTCGGCGAAACAGGTCGTAAATTGTCCAATAGCTCTAGAAAACGATTCAAAAATTATTTACTATAGTAATCTATATCCGAATTTCTAGTACTTTTGAAAAGAAAAAAAAAATCCAATAGAAAAACTTGCCAAGCAATACATTTTTCTCTTGAATTTTTTTTTTTTTCGTTTTTTTTTAATAACAATTACGTTTGAGGTGCTCCATTTGGCTCTAGACACTAGACTCTAGTGACTAGAGACGAGAAAATCAAATGCTACTGGATAAGGCTACCGCAAAACTCCCATTTGAACAAACAATATTTTTCAAGACAACTGGTACATGAACAGTTAGTCGTGTCTTGTTCCAATTGGCTGCTGAGCCATCAGAGTTATACAAGTTTACAACCGTGTCACATATTCTTGATAACAAGTACATTTTAATGCCCTGAGTAAACATCTTCGAGAAGGAAAAACCTAGTGGATGATTGCTGAGTAACGATTTTTATCAACGGGGTTTTTTTTTTTTCACTTGGAGACGATGATTTGTTAATAAATCAATTAAATTTTTTATTTCGCTGAAAATTGAGAATTGGTTTTGTAAGTGTAAATTGATGGTTATTCGAATGACATCAGAGGTGCCATATTGTGACAATTTTCTTCAGCTGATGAATCAGCTTTTCTAGTTTTATCGTGTTTTTTTCAATTTCTTTGATATTGATTTAATGATTTTAAAGTGATTTTCGTTTGAATTTTTAATGATTAAATGAGGTTTAACGGTACATGAACGGTTGGTATATTCAATTTTGGTGGTTTTGTGACCTCATGTATAATTAAGTAAAATATTCATGGAATAATAGTAAATAAATGGATTTGACAATGGAATTTTACCTTTCTCTTCAGGTGGTAAATCATCGTGAGAATCATGATCATGGCATGGGTCAGGGCTTGGTGTGTCCAAGCCAAGTTCATCAAGACCGAGACGAGCCTCGCCCTTAGTAGGTACCCAGAGTTGTTGTCCCGGATAAATGAATGTGCTACCAAGCCTATTGAGTTTACTCAATTCTGATGGGGTCGTATCGAACCGGGCTGCCACTGATGTTAGGGTATCTCTGTCGCCCACCTGAAATGTAAATAATAGCGCTCATTATAATAATGATATAAATTATGATATGAAAATATCATCAAAACCAAACGAGAAACCTCTCAAAATTAACACGGCAAAATCTATCAAACTTTTTTTCTCTCTTCATTTATTAATTGCATAATGCAATGACTTTCATCAGCTTTCCAGCATTGATTCAACTCGACTGAAATACGATTTCATTGTCGTTTGGTTGAAAGGCTTGAACAATGGGGAAAAAAAAATTTTCAAACAAGCAAGATAATGATGACCGGGTAAGAGACCCATCAAAGACAGAAACAGGAATGCCAGGGGGGATAATGTGGAGCCGTGCATAGAAGTTGAAGAAAAAAAGACGAAGGAGTCTTGTTTTTCAAGGAGGAAGAGAGTGCTCTTGATGATAGCACACAAAAGACAGAAAACGGAATTCTCTGGCCTAATCACATGCTCATGTGGCTTGGTGTGTCACTTTAACCTCGAAGGGAAAAACGAGTGATTGCATCTTTGATATGGGCAACATTTAATACATGGAATTTGGAGAATAAGAGCTCGGTTTCCTCATGGATTATTATCCCTAACCGAGAATGGCCAGTTGCCAATTTGGATAATTCAAACGATCCAATTAATTGGTTTCCCTCTAGTGTCTGATTACCGATAAAGACCAGAACACTGTGGCTTCCATCCCCATTATCGATTCACTCATATTCCAGAATGGGTGGTAAACACCTCCACGATTATGCAAGTGTCATTTGAATGAGTAACACGTTAATAACCCTCAAAGCGAGGGGATTTATGATTACTATATACTAATTGTTAGTATTTTTACTGACCATGCCATGGGAATGAAGAATTCTATAGCCTCAGAATGATATAAATTAAAATGATATTATGTTGAGAAAAATTTTCGCTCCGTATCTTGAGGGACTAATACTCACTCTGTAGGCAATGGTGTTGTCTGGTTGAGTAAGACGAGCCTGTCGCTTCTCCTGAAGAGTGGAGCCGTCCTTCCCATCGCTGTCCGAATCTGTCAACAACAATAATAGATGCTAATTTACAGTAATTGATGACTTCATGAAAATTTCACATTCCTGCATTCTGAAATATTCAATTCAATTGGATTCCCTCATAGCCTTGAAGTTGGACAAGTTTTTTTGATAATATATATGTAAATTGCGCAAGGGAAGATGATAAATTATTTATGCTCAAGTAATGGTGATTGCTTTACCCGACGAAACGATTAATATCCAAAGAGAGTACTTGGTTTGTCAAATAACAATAAAAACCCATTCGATCACCATTCTTTTAATAACTATCGGTAGATAAAGGCGCCACGTGCAACAACGAGTCAAGAATTTTCAGCCGTGTGTTAAGTGGAAATGAAGATTATAATTGTCAGACCTTCTAACTCAGGGACATGACCACTCACAAAGATGAGTGTCTCACAGATATCGATAAAATAAAAAATTGTCTCGCAATCATACTGCGATATTTGACGTGACTCTGCTATATTGAGATTTTGGTGTGAAAAGTGAATGGCAAGTCAAAGTCTCTGGTGAGTAATAAAAATTTCAATTGGAATACTATTTAAAAAAAAAAAAAACAAAAAAAAAACAAAACGTCAAGAGGCTAGCTATTGGAAAAGCTTGGTTTGTGGTTGATGTAATATTTGAATAATGGGCGTTGGAGTATGTTACCTGTGGACCAAAAGTTTGTGGCCACTGGTTCGCCTTGCACTACATACACCACCACCCAGTCCCTGAGTTTGTCTCCGTGTATGTGAACGTTTGACGCTTCGTACTCGGAAAATTCCCCCTCGCACACCGAAAATTTCCTCTCCATTACCCAACCTTCCATTTGGAATTATCAATACCAACTGCTAATACCGAGTACACTTTCCATAACTCATCAACTCATAAACTCGTGTGTCCAGGTTAATGCTTTTTTTTCAGTTATTTTAGTTAGTTTGCTTAGTTTTCTCTGCATCCGCCAATGAATTGTTTATTAATGCATTCTATATATTTAATACATTTTGCCAATTTTTATCGCACTGTACTGTCTAGATGGTTAGGGACGACCCGGACGACTGAATCAATCTCGAGCGCAACGTCAGATCGATCGAGAGACTTTAATCTTGCTAAATAATCGTACGAGGAAATAAAGAACTCGCTGTTGTAGTTGGCCGAACCCAACTTATATTACCCCACCTCACGTGCGAGAAACAAATAACTCCATCGTCTGAACACCCATCACCCTCATTAAATATCAATCATAACCATCGTAACCAACTCCTCGTGATGCTTTCGTCAAGCGAAAGCTTACTCACTCTACTTCTAGTATAATAAACTACAAATGATTAAATGGAAATGGAAAAACCGAAACAACTGTTGAACGGTCTTGTAGAAGTTAGACGAGAATTGCGTCACTATTACATATGGAGCGCTTTGTTTATTGGAGGAAGAAAAAAACTTGGGTGGGGGCTGACTTATCATACTGTTGGTACTGTTCCAGGAAAATTACCCTATATTCATAACTAGCTAGATCCGAAGAGGAATGAATACTGGCCAACGGAGAAAAAATTTCTTAGCCTTAGGAAACAATTAAGCATTAAGTTTTAATCACAAATCTCTCTCTCTCTCTCTCACTGTCTCTCCAATATTCGAGAAATAAAAAAAAAAAGGATAATGAAAATTGGTTACCGGATGGATTTGTTTGACTTTGAAAAAGTAAATCAATACGCTACAATTGAAGGGGTCGAGGTCTCAATAAGCGAATGAATGCGAGACAAGTCGATGCATCATCTTTACGCGATGGATGACAAGAGATTTAAAATGTGAATTGAAAATTTCACGAATTTTATTCTGCAAGACGAAGAGCCTATACTTTATCTTACCTCTGGATAGCTTATCGACTGATTCGAAGCGACCCTCCACCTTGCTACGAAGTGATTCAAGATCGTAAGGGGTTGAGAATCCATGATCCACACTTCGGCTTTTGCTCCTGAAAAAAATATCACAAGTTAATTATTCCATTGTTTTTCAGGATTCTCATGAAAAGTACCATTCATAATAAACTATAATATTATGGATATATTATAATTGGTTAATAAAAATAAAAAAACAATGTAGAAAGCCAGGCATTGGTTTTAGCGACTAGCAAAAAATCATACGCACCGGAAGAATGATGCTGCTAGGTTCTCGGTGGACCTCGACTGAGAGACATCTTGCTGTGACATGCGTCGTGACCTGGGTTGTCATTCCAAAATAAAATGACAAAAAAAAAGAAAGATACGTGTGAATAACATGCTTTCGTGCACTAAAATCTAAATCATAACCTACTGGCTCATCACTGATAATTAAAGGATTTTTAAAATAAAAAAAGCACGATAAGTGCAGCATGTGCCCCACGCGATGCAAGTTATTTCTTATTTTTTAATGAATTTCCGAAGGAATTCTTTCGGATGCATGGAGCGGTAGTGTAATAATGGCCGTTAGTTGTAACGAATGACTGGAGACTGGTAATTTGTATGTAAATGAGTGGTAAAACTCTCATGCATACGAATGTTTTACATCACTCGTCCATGGTACTCATGATGGATTATCCATTTTTCTCGTTCATAAGTTTTAATTTCACTTCTATGGTCAATGTAAGATTGGATGGCATGTGCAGTGGCTTTAGATGTTTTTCATCTCATCTTCCCGGAGCGTCGGCTTTTTATTGTCAAGAAAAAGAGCCAATCGTTCAAATCGTTTTTGATGCGACACCAAATTGATTTTCATATTGATTATTTGATATTGCATATCATTGCCTACGGAGAAAAAAACAATTTTTTATTGTAATTTTTTTCCGGTCAATAGATTATCGCAGTATCGTACAATAGAGAAAATAGCAATGTTGAACGCAGCTGCTATGCTCCAGTGAATCATTCACTCATGTTTAATACCGATCTTGTTTGGATGGTTTTACGAGTTTGTGGAAGATTCCAGGATTGGGAGAATGAGAAATCCGAGACGAACTGTCAGCGGGCATTTTTAGAGATTGTAAACAGAAGTAAATGGGGATTTATTTTTAGATCGTTCGACAGTTGGTGCTCGTTCCCAAGAGATGTGCAAATGACACAGAGTGCATATTTTTTGGAATATCATATTGAAATAAAATCGAAAAATATTCTATTATTGTAATTGGACTGATCCTTTAGTTAAAAAAAAAAGCGTGGACTGAAAATTGTGATGGGCGGGGGAGCGAGGGAGGTACGCCATTTTACTCGATTTAGGCGATTTTTTTCTTCTTGAATGCAAATGTATTTAAAAATGGGAATTTCATCAAGGTTCCGGCGCCGGTGGTTACTGGTGCAATTGACATATTTTCGATGGACATTGAATAAAAGCAATGACCTCGACCCAAATCTGCCTAAACAAACATCGGTGACAATCCCACGCTAGACAAGAGCCACGCCCATTTATGATTTTCACCTGTTGAAAACCACTAGGGTGGGAATAAAAAGGGCTTTTGGGCATATCAACGGAAATATCACTGAGTTATCTGGTATTGTGCACTTTTGCCTCCACCTCTCCTCAACATTCTTTCCAAGTGGCTTCTCAATAATGTTGGTGAATCTTCAATCGTTGTTAGAACAATTATCTTGTTAAAAAAAGTCTCCAAAGCATGAAAATTATTTTCTCAACAATGATGAAAAATTAATCAATAAAGCCCGTTGAATTATCATATGTTTTATTTATTGAATGTATTTGACGTAAAAAATAATTTCCTCATTGGTACTCTCAGTTGGAGTGGAAGGTCGAATTGGGAGCTTTACTGTGTATAATATATATGTATAATATAGCCATGGCATAACCAGGCGTAAAGAGTCTCACGTACAGCTTTTGAAATAGCTCGGCGAATGCTATCGACTTCCTTGGAAAGTGAGAAAGGACAAACGTAGACTGGCTTCTAGTTTATAAACAGTTTGAGTTGCAAGAGAGTGGTTTCGAAATCGTCTTTTCGCCCCAACTCTATGATAACTCTGCGAAACTTTTCCACTGAGGTTATTTCAACAATTAAATACAGGACGTATTTTATCATTTGAAAAGAGATAAAGAAAAAAAAAACAAAAACAAACAGAATAACAAACATTAATTGTTTCTTTCTCCAATTCCAACTAATCGACGTCTAAATTAATGAGATAAAAATGGTCGAGGCTGAATTTTTCAACACCAGTTAACGTCTTTGACCTTTGACCTTATTTTTAGATGATAGTTATGTTGGGATTCGGGTGATTACTGAAGAACAAGGAGAGGCATTGGGCTTGGCACATGTACCAGCTTATTAAGTGACTTGATTTCCTGTCTCCGGATGGAATGGAATATACCGCACGTGGTTAGCCTCTCAATAATACCATCCAAAATAGTGCACATAAGTACACATAATAAAAATAAAAAGTTTACAATTTCTCATTTAGAAGTTTTATTATTTATCAATTTTTCCCTTATAACATGAAATATAAATGAAATTTTGGAAATTTTATCATCCATCCGGGTATTCCTGGTCGGGTTAATCAGTGCATGACTGATTTTCAAGTGACTGACTGGTGACTGGTGGTGGAATGGTGGACTTTGGTGAAGAGGCAAATGGATGCCGATTTACTGAATTTCGTTGGTTTCGAAGCTTGCGGTATACCTCCAAGTGCAATCGGAATTCACTGCAGCGAATCCACGGCAATTGCCGGTCACCACTCAACAGTTGAGTAATCTACCGCAATCTAAATTCTCTTTCGCATTCTTTCCCTTTGTGTTTTCAGTCCAATAATCAAAGTCAAATTGTTATGTCGTATATAATCCATTCAATTCTTCTTTTTTTTGCTGAGCAACGATGAACAGCTTTAAACAAATTCATTAACCATGTAATTCCTTAGATTTTACATTGTATTATTATGCTTTTTTTTTCATTTGAGAGCAAGTGAATAATATCCATTGGACAATTAGACTTTTGATTTTCAATCAACATATCAGTCATTCAACTCATCATTTTTCAATCAGTCAATACTGTTAAAGAAGTGTAATATCAATTGTATGTTGTGTGACATAGGTGTAACTAGGTATATTCGGTAGAAGGTAAGAGTCACATAGACAAATGACTTTTAATATCCAGCTCTCATGTGTGTGAGTGAGTGAGGCATGATTATTTTTCTTGTGGATGGATGATTTCTTTGTTGCAATGAAGCGTGAAAACCAATTCAACTGGAAATGTATATATCGAGAGTGTAATCGTTCAATGTGCAATCGTTTGATACACCATTTGATAGGAGTGACGATCAACGTTACGATGGCAACGAATCGACTGTAATGAAATTATTTCATTCGCATATCCCTCCCATTTCCCCATACCGGTGTCATTAAATTCTCGTCATAAAGAAGATTACTATCTCCTCATTTCTTCCAACTATCTCCAAGTTATATTGCTCATCATTCTGGGGGCAAAATTGCGTAATAATTCGGAGTAAAACCTAGCCAGTTAAACCAGAGATCTCGCCATAGGGAAATCTTATTTTTCAACAATTGTTTGAAAAACAATGAAACACATGAAAACGTAAACATTCCCTTCTGTGTGATTTTCTATTCTCTCGGAAAGGTTTCTTATCGCAACTAAACCTAAACCAATCAATCATTTTAATTTTTTATCCATTGTATCGACGACATCTCGTCAATAGGAGAGTCTGATTAATTGCCATGAATCAGTCTACTCGATAAGGAGAGAAAAAAATTATGTGGCAGTGGGTAAGAAGCCAGATAGTTAATGAAATGATTTTTGTAGTTGATGCAACAGTGGCGGAAGCAAATCACTAGATAATGACACATCACTTCGATGGTAAAACCATTGATCAAAAATCCTTACAGAAGGTCAGGGTGACATTGAAATAGTATCGCCACAGAGTATTAAGTGATTTGTCAATTTTAACAATCCGATATTTACGTTTTTCCAAATTAATTCAACGTTTTTCTTTATCTTTTTCTTTTTTTATTGAACGATGTGAGAAAAAAAAATGTACAAAGATGGAGTAAACGAGCGTTTACGCGATGGGAATTCGGATATTTTTTCTCAATTAGCACAATTTTATGTACGTATATGATGAGAGAAGCGGAAAATAAATGGGTGTGACGAGGAAATGAAGAGACCATCAAAGATGTATCCCGCAGATTGTCCCGAGTTCCGAGTCTCAAGCCCCGAGGATTTCCCATCAAGTGAATATTCATTCCAATATTCATTCCAATAATCCAGCAATTCATGTTTTATTGGCATGTGCCGACTTGAACCCCAGCCCATTATATTTGTCACGTGCACCGTTTACAAACAGCCTTTTACGAACAGTGGGGGAAAACATAGCTGATCAGCCGAGTCAATCAAGCAATCGTTTTCGCGTCAGTGCATTTTATTATGCAGCTGAAAACATTGTAGACACTCAGGGTCAACAGATTTCCGATGAATTATTTCGTTAGCACGTCGATAAGCATAAAAATAAAGAGAAAAAGAAAAAAAAAAGTTATGAAAACAAGAATAACGGGAGACTCAAATTTTCGTTTTATCGATATAGAAGAAATTGAGATAAAAATAAAACTCTGAGCATGAGAAAAAGAGAATAAAAAGTTAACTATTGTGAGAGTGATAGCCGATACCTTGTGACAGAATCAGGAACAAAAATGTTCCACCAGGAAAGCCTCTTCTGGCGGGCTGCTCCATAGAGAGCCTCAGTACTGCCAACATCAGGTGTAATGGCACCGAGGCCTTTTTTTCGTTTCCTATCGGCCTTGGGTGGTTTAACCAACGGATGCCAGGACTTTCTCCGTCCCTTCTTCACCTCCATCTGGTCGGGTTGATGGGTGAGAGGAAGAACTTTTGAGGAAGGGGCATTCTCCTCGAGAAGTTGATGAGATACATAGAATACGGAGGCTCTCCGTTTGTCCTTGTCGTCGAGGGGTAGGTCGCTGGTACGTCGCCCCCGCTGGAAGAGGCTATCCCTCCTGGCCCGAAGATCATCGAGGACACTGTGTCGTCGTCCTTTGGAATGGCCGATGATTGAGGTGGCAAGTTTATCGGGGGAGTGTTCCTCGAGTGCCATGGGAATAGAATTGGTGGAGGCGAATTTACCACCAGTATGGCCACTGCTCGGTGACTCTGTGATGTACATTTCCATACTATCTGGCACTTTGATACGAGTTTTTCAACGAGAAAAACAACAAGTGTGCCTCAACAAACTCATTTTATGGAGGACCGCGCGACAACCGTTCTAAACCGCGTACTAAAGAACGGTATGCGGTTAGCTACAAGTTGGTGTTAAATCCCCCGGTGAAAGCCAAGCCACAGGCTCGCGACCGCCTTTTCACTTCGAGATCAGTGCGTTGCCCTCTACCCTCTGCACAGCCTTTTATTTTTATTTTTATTTTTATTTGTTCAATCACTGGCCACTAAATTCTAAAACCTTATTACTCCTTATTACTCACACTGGACACTCAACAGGCATTCAATCCAACACGCCCTTCCGAGGTGAACATACTCAGGATGAGTATTTCAATCGTCCGAATCCGAGCGGCCTTGGGCCTTATCATTTAGCATTATCATTTAGGCCCTTTATTTATCTTTAAGAATAATTTACTATCCTATGGTTTCTTCAATTGAATTCCTATTCCCACAACTCTCCCATATTCACCACTTATCTCTGAATACATTTCCGATGGAGATATTATTCTGCTAATTAATTCGTTGATTTTAATGTTGATTGAGGTGGGTCACATAACCGGAAGTGAACGGAATTAAGATTGTGAAGGTGTCTTCTCGGTACGAGATACGGCGGTACTAGCTCGAGTGATCGTTTCGTCGTGTATTTATACGTCAACAGACCGACCCACGTATGGCATCACCCCCACCAAGCACTTTTTATTATTCTCTACATCAAGCGACTTTAGACAACAAATTGTCATTACTTAACGAGATGGCAATTCATTTAGTTGAGAAAAAAGGGCTACAATGGAAAATTGAGACATTTGATGAAAAGAGGATCAATAGTATGACAAATGTATCACACTTTGGAAATATATATATTTTTTTGTCTCTCTTATTGTGGAGGTCAATTGGTCATAATCCAATTAAAACGAGCATTCGTGTATTTTCATCGCTGCAATTCTCTAATTGCACGCTTTCAAATTGATAAATTGTTTCTACCGGTCGGCACGTCCACTGTTCGTTAACAAAAACAAAAAAAAAGAAAAAAAAAAAAAAGAGCCGACAACTGGGGAGATTTTTTTTTTTCGGGGAGATTGGACCGGTTTCTGCATTAGAAAATTGGAAATGGGGAGCGTTGTGTTTCGGTGCATTTGTGGATTTGTCGAAAATATAATGCGAGGATGAAAATAATGTGAATCACACCGAGACGTTGATATCCTATCCTGGGAAAGAGTACATATTTGAATGGGGTAGAGGCTGACTTTACATGATACATCTAGCACCGGAGTCAAGTCTTTATTGACATTTGGCATTTGGAAAGAATTTATAGTGATGGATATAGAATTTAGTGCAAACAATATGTATTCGAACATGGACCAAAAATATTTGCAGACGTATGGGTTTTTAGCTTTATCGGCAACGCGCGTGGCAAGATAAAAATAATTATCAGAGGTTGAGAGAAATCGTCTTCAAGAGAAGCTGCAAATGATAACGACGTGACTGTTAACACGTTGACATTATCAAATTGTCATAGTGTCTAGCTGAGGGGAGAGAAAGCGTTCCAGGGCCGGAGGACATTTATATATTCTTACCACATACTTAAAATTTTTCCATCGAGCTTCCGCTACACTTTTCACAAACTTATTCATCATTTTCCTCTAGATTTTCATGAAACTTCACCATTGAAAATTCATAATATCAGTGTTTAATTATGTGGATAAATGGAAAGTTGTTAATTCCTAACTAATGGGAAAACTCTCAGCCAACAGTCCATAAAATTAAAATTTGTTTAACACAGAATACTTGCTTTTTTTTAATTATTAAAATGACATTTAAAAAGGACAGTAGAAATGAAAAATCTCAAATGGTGAATTTAAATGATTGATTAATAAATATCTTATCTTTACGAAAAGAAATTGATGAACTTGAAATTGAAATAGAAACGAAAAAGGTGCCCCCATTTTTAATGGAACTCAAGGTTGGTGTTCCACAGTATGTGGCATTGAATGGAATAAAAATGATAACAAGCATCAGCAACGAGGAAAAATATTTGAGTGGGGATCAAGTCGATAATGACTAGCTCTTGACTGACTCAAAGAGGTGATGCTGATGCTGACGCTGATGCTGATGCAAATTCTATGGCGGTTATCCACATCCCTCAACTTCTGGGTGAATTTTTCGGGTCAAGGTACGCGATATCGAGCGGACTCTCAATAATGGCCCTCATTTTATTTCTCCCTTTTTCTCTTTCATCCTCTTTGCCTTGCGAGTTTTTTTATTTTTTCAATTATAACGATAAAAAATAAGCGATTGACGAGAAGACGTGCAGATATGAATGTGGGAAAATAAATGCCGATAACATCTAGTCAAAATTATAAATAAAAATAATTGGCAACCAACGAATTGACAAGAGCGATCGATAAGATGGATTACAATTGTATTTGCGATTTAATGTAAACTCGAGTAGTTTGCTCAAGGCCTCCTTAGCGTAGGATAAAAAACCCTTGAAAGCAATAAATATAAAAATTGAAGAGATTATTTAACTGACTCACCTTCTGCAACCAATGCCCTCCCATACCATCTGAATATAAAACTTGTACTTATATTGTACTTATAAATCAATGACTCACCTGTAACAGAAAGAAAGAGGAAAAATTATTGACTGTTTTGATAATTAGGGGAATGGTTTTAGGAAGCATATTGCATATAGCAATATGTTGTTTGCCAGGGTCCGTAGGTATATATATATATGCGAAGGAGATATGCACGATCGGCGATCAGCGACCCAAACGCGAGTAGTCGCCGCCATTCATCGCGGTGTAACCAGTTAAGAATGTTCCTATAAATAGAATTCCCGGAAGGCACGGCGCCTTCAGGGAAAGATTCAAAGAAAGGATAATTTCTCGTCGACTTGGTGGGTTTTACCATCATTACATTACATGTATGGGCAATTATTATTTTCTCAATATTCGAGTAAGGAGAGTTTAAAATTGACAACTGCAACTAAATAATGAAAACACCTTGACGATATTTCCACGTAACACGCCTGTTTACCTATTACATGTGTTTGACATGACACATGTTAGCACATTAAAGAGAACGGAAAAATGTATCAGTTGCCAGATGTCATGACACTTGATGCCTCCATGTAATAAAACAAAACGACAAACAATCCTCATGTGTCATTTGTCAATTTTTTTTTTATTTTCAGCCTCCATTGCCCTCCATCGTGTTGCATAAAAATAATGGAAAAAACAATTTACGGAGAGAATTGCTGAGCAAATTAGTCAGACTCGTTGAAACGATTAGACTGTTATGAGGTACGAAAGCCATATCAGTATTGTGTGTATATGAGATATATTTGTGAACAAATAAGATCTAAATGTCTGCGACGCCACCCGTATGCCGTACCTTATGCCATTTCGCTTGACTTATTACATAACAATCTCATATCCTCAACGAATTAACTGGAGACAAAAAAAAAGTCAAATTTCAGGGCAATTGTCTGTCTCTCTAAAAAAATAAAAATAAAAACAAACAAACCATTTCTCGTTTATTAGAGTTCAAAGGGGAGTTAATATCCCAGTAATTTATTACTGTTTCCTCCATTTATTGTGCCATAAACTGACGTTGAGATTTTTCCAAGACTTTTCTCAATCGCAGATATTTTTAATCATCCTAACGCAAGACAATATTTGTGAAAGAGGATTGGCTCTAGTTGAAATGAAATATTGCCGGCGCACCTTTCAACAATCTCACTCACATTTCGTACAAAGTTGCACAGTTTTACTGATAAAAACTCTACTTGCTTGTATGCATTGATAAATTATTGAATGTCCCATAGAAAGCCTTTCTGTCGCTAGTTTATAGTCTGTGGGTCGAAACAATACACAGACATGTATCCTTGAGCCAAATGATGAATGCGGAATTCAAGTCCTTTGCAGGGTTTTATTTTTCTCAGAGGCATCGACCGCACGGGGACAACCGCTCCCTCTCAATTTCATTCTTGTTCACCATTGCTTCAATAATTCATCCATTTTTATTACAATATTCCATGAAAATTGTTCAATTTCATTTCCATAAAAAAAAAAAAAACTCTCATTGAACAGCTCATTGAAAGAGCTCATTTTCCTCGGCAATTGTCAATTTGATATGAAGTTTAGCAACGTTTATAGATTATTGATTGTTGCTGTTATCGAAGGCTTGAAATTGGTCCAGGTAAAGAAGGGATTGAGATACAGATTGAATGCAATGAGAGGAATTAATCATCGGTGAAAGTACATTTGGCAGGTATTTTTTTCTCTTCGGAAAACGAGGCCAAGGCTACGAATTTGCGCGACTCGGCCACATGCCAGCAGAAAGGATTTATTTCATACACTGTCGAGAGAGTCTCAAGTTTATCGAGTATGAATGAATCAGCGTCGACAACTTATGTTGAGAATTCATAACGACTGAACTGGATATAACCAATATAATATTGTTATTTTGATTTTTTATTTGTCGTTCTCAGAGGAAATGTCAACTCACTGATAATTTAATCATGCTATTATAGACTCCCTTCTGCCAGATGAGCGAGATGACTTTTTGGAGTTGCGGTTGATTCGGTATAGTGTATATAACGAGTATTTGAAGCGATATTGTATTATTGATGCCAAATGACTCGGCATAATTTTCCAATGTAGTTAATAGGTAATAAACGGCGATGCCTTCCAAGGTGTATTGGTGTGGGAGAATGGTGAAAGGGGAGAAAGGCGTAACGTTTGAGTTGCTTTGTTTGAGGTGTCGGGTATAGCGGAGCAAGCTCACCGATATACCCTCTATGGAGAATTCTCTTCACAGCGGACGTGTCCTCGAACGAAAAGGTTTTATTTTTTGCCCCCACATGTAGATTGTTCCACCGCATAGAGGCCTCGATTGGACCCTTTGACGTCACCTGTCACCCCCAGGGTCACTCTCCATTGGTTAGCGGAATGGAGAAAGGAATACTCTCACGACAGAATGTCACGGCTCTTATCACGTTATTGTTAACATGTTATTTTACATTTCAAACTTTTCTCCCCTAGCAGCCAATTAACTGATCTGAACTGAATTGTTTTATTCCTCTCCAAATGAGGCCAATATCACAATAAGTTCATTCAATAAAAATGAACTTTCCAACTGGTCTAGTTTAGGTGTAGATATTATCACCTGCTGAAGAATCTCAACTAAAAAATTCATCATCTGCTGCTTGTGTGGAATAGATGAATGTCAAACGAGATTATATAAATTATTATTATTTATCATTTTCATGGAAAATATCATACTCGAAGCGCCATCTGCAAGCTCGACTGCCAATTTCGGGAATTCCAAGAGATGATAATATGGCTGATAACACAACGAATCATAGAAAAAGCCCCATTGTCCCGTTGTCCCATTGTCCCATCGGGAATAAATTGTTATTATAATCGGCAAATGAGTTAAGGGAAAAAATGTGTGAGAGATAATTACTCACTGCCAGTTGAATCCAGCATTCAATCCCTCCCTCAGTCGATCTTTGAAGCTACGTTGTCTAGCCGGTGTGGGAGATGCATTATTTTTCTGAGACCTTCCTGAGTTTCCACCCCCCGAGAATAATGCCATTTTTATCGAGATTAAAAAAAATTTCTTTTCCACTGCACAAACCCCTACCCCACTTGTCAACTCGTCACGTCACGGGGCCAGCCCTTCACCATTTAAACTTTTAAAAAATCACTGTTTTTTTTTTTGTCAATTTTTAAATATTCGACGACACGACGACAACAATAATGACTAGCACTTGCCTGTTCACCAACATGTGACATTCGATTAAACCGTTCGATCACCTCTCGTCTTTCTCCACTCGTTCACTACGTGGCTATGATTATTGTTATTCTTTTTTCTTTATTTTTTTTTTTTCCGCCGTTTGAGCCGTCTGTTCTGCGTGTTGACTGCGTGCGCACTTATTTTGTTTGTCTTTGGCACAGTTAAACTATTGAAATGCCAAGTAATGAGATGTCCCAAGTAAAGTCTGCGAATTATCACGTCATTTACATTTCTATCGAATTTATTAAAAAATTCACTCGAAATATATTATAAATAAAATATATATTGTTTTTCCATCCATAGGACTATTGCCATTGTCCCATGATTTTGAAATATTTTTCAAAGTCTCAGGCCATCACCCAAATAGATGAATGAAGAGATAATTTGAAAACGTTGGAGAGATTGTGGTGGCTGAGAGGTGGTGTGGTATTAGCCGAAGAGCTTACGCTATAGCATAATAGCGGCTGGTTTGGTTGCTCTGGCGGGTAGGATGGAGTACAAGGTCAAGCTCACAGCTGTTTCCATCTATCCCACTCGAAAGAGAGGATCTTGTTCACAACGAGTATTCTTTCTACCACCCTCACTCATCCCGAGAGGCCTGTATTGATCCCCTTTCACCCGCCCCAAACTCAACCAATCCCAGCCTCCATTCCATTTTATTTGAAATTATATTTCAAATAAATTGAATAAATTTGTCTTACTCAATTAGTAGCAGTGTAGTTGACGAAAATGTGTATTTGACAAACAATACAGCACAGGGGGAGTGAAGAGAAGAAAAAAAGGAGGAAATTTGCAGCTTGTAACTCCTTTTTCTTCACATTGCCATACTTTACATTAAGGAAATTGGATTAAAAGGGGGAAATTAAGGGGCCTAGGTAATTTGACTAGGGATGAATTATTGCTGCAATTTACTCATGGTTTGGAATGAATTTAATTTGGACTGCTTGCCGTAGAATTTATATGTCCGCTGTGCAAGGAGGACGGGAACAGTCCAATATTCACTTCACATCCAATCGACTTATATCCTCTCAACTCTCAATTTTTATGAATGCGGGTAATAAGCGGACGCCTCACAAATAGATGCCATCATTTTTCTCTATCTCCATTCGAATGCCAGTAGTTGGGAATAAATCGGATTACTTCATCATTTGGTGTGTGTTTGCCGAATGAACAACAAACATTTGCATCGAGTTGGGATACCACGGGGATCAAATGGCCGCTTTCCCACGAAATTATGTTGTTTGTACAAACATATTAGCCCCTTTAAAAACATCAATCGATTTTTTCAACGTTAAATTGTCATTTATCTTATTTTTTAAAAAAACCCAAACGAGCTGAATTATTTCTGCTCTTATGAACTATGAAAAGGGTGGGAACGTGCCATGGGGTGAGTGAAATTAAATATTGAAGGTGGGAGTTTACTTGGTTGATCGGTTGATTAATCAATTGGCATAAGTTTGGAAAAATAATAGTTTTCATGAAGATGGCAGGCAGGCAGTGGGGGTTACTGATTGGAGGCTATCCTCCATGGATTCTAAGAGGATTGGTTTCTGTAATCCAATAAAATATAAGGGCACGTGGATGATAGGATAACGAGGAGGAAGAAGCGAGCCACGTGTGCTTCATAATAAAGAAAAAAGATAATTGCTCAAGTAAAACATATTAAAAATTAAAAATTATTGTTGATATATGAAATGAATATTTTTAGCACTAGCTGAATTCCGCTTCTTCATATTCACTCTCGACTGACGATAAACCCGAGTAAATTTCTCTCACCTGATGAAATTCGTGACACAATTTTAATGAAGAAATATTCAATAATTTTTCATGGTAAAAATGTGATGAATGAATAAGAGAGTTGCATGTTTGCACAGTACGCGGAGAAAAAATTGCGTTACTATGTCTTACGGCGCGTCACAGGCTATCACTGACGATAGGGAATTGTTAGGAAAGTCCTAGTGAAGGAGCAGGAGTGCACTGCCACTGCCACTGCCACTGCCACTGCCACTGCCACTGCCACTGCCACTGCCACTGCCACTGCCACTGCCACTGCCACTGCCATTGCCACTACCACTACCACTACCACTACAACACCCTTATCCTCATCCTCATGCTGAGTGGCAACGCTTCCAACACGTCGAATCTCCCATCCCCACTCTCACCACTATCACTGGCACATAAAGAGAAATTTTGCCAGGATAGCCTATGTCTCACTCCGATTGCCCTTGATTTTGCCGAGAGCTCATTTTTTTTTTTTTAAATATGGCGGAGATTATTGGGGAATATAACTCTTGTTAAATATCAACTGATTTGATATGATTTAATAACAGCCGTATTCCGTGGACATGCTCGTCATCATGTCATCCTCTATCTATGCTGTATCAATCTCCATTTTCCATTCCCAGTGCCATCCCTTCACTACTCTCTCCTGTATCACCGGAAATTTTGTTTGACCCAATTCTGCCAAATTCCCACACCACCCCCAGGCATTAATTAATCTAATCGATACTTTTGATTTGTTATTCGTTATTAAATCGATTGCAAAATAATGTCATTTCCGTTGGGCTGGTGTAGGAAAGAAATGCCTGAATGCTGAGTAAACTAGTTACGATTGATCGCAAATGGCGGAGCGATGGAATTTTTGAGCTTTATTCTAGGATTAGGTTGCTCTTCTATTCGGCAAAAAATATGAAAAATAGTTGCCGATATTTTGCACGTTGTTGGGTAGAGTGCTTTTGCCGAATTTGGTCACGACCTTGTCGAGAGAGGCTCGATGGAACCTCAGCTATTTTTATTCCCCTTCTCTCCACTTTTCACCAATTTTTCCTCTCCTTTTTTTTCATCTTTTCACGTAGAATATTTGAACCTCTTGGATAAGGAAGAGGGAAGAAATATCTGACGTATACGAATAGTGTCGATATGGTGTCGATATAGAGCCTCAGCGACCTTGTCGCATCGACCAGATGCTAAACCCTCCTACACTTGTATCAACTCGTTTGCTTCTTTTGCTTCGGGGCGACACCTGCGATCGATCAGATGCAAGGTGAATTTACCCTCACCTCACGCACTATCATTCTAGCCCTATATTTTTATCCCCTATACTCCCTCCTACTTTGCTTTACCATCTTTTCATTGAAGAACCAAATTGCAAAGAATTAAGAGTTGTTCACCCAAAAGGACCATGTGTTTCCATCGAATGAATATTTATTTAGACATGTGTCTTATGAAATATTGATCTTTACGTTGCCGTACGTTGCCGAGCAAAAGAATTGGAAGCAAAAAAATGGGGCTATTGGATCCAGAGCACTTGCCTTTGGTTACTGACATGGGGTGAATTATTTGTAACATGTGTGTGTCTGTGGCTCCACTCTCCCCCTTACAACTCACATAGAATCGATGCTTGCCGACACAGTTTCGATGATAATTCAGCGTTTATATGTGCAACGATCGTGTTTGATATGTCGCGAAATGATTGCAAAGACACTACCGTTGACCTTGCCCTCGCAACCCATCATCTCATATCAACTCATAACAACTAATTCCTCACATTTTCTTTCCCCATATTTGTATCTTTACCATTGTCTCTTCATTAACATAATGCAACAGCCAAACTATTTGGAATTATTTATTCTACATATTTTTCAAGGGACTCTCCCCCAATCAACTCAATTGAATTTTATCGCTTTCAGCACACAATTTCAATTTATCACATTTGAATGAGAGTATTTCAATGAAAACGTTATTCGAATGAATGCTGACAAACGCACAGAAAGCCATTTAATTAGATAGCATTATAATTGTCGATAACGTCGCCAACTTTACAAATTTGTACTGTCAATGAATTTGACAATGTCTGTGATGACTTGCATCTGGAAATTGAGCCTTAAGCTACTCTCGAGAACAAAGGGCAGGGGGAGAGTTAATAGGTCAATGCTTTGAATTAACTTTTATATTATTAAATTGATAAAGATGATTTTTGGGGAACAATGGCGTTATTAGGGGATAATGGTTGAAAAATGGGTCATGTGTGGAACACTGATGTCCACTGGTGTATACGTCAACAACGGAGAGCACCACCCTAATAGAGGAACGCCCAAATCACACTCAATATTATCTAATTTGTGAGATAATGAGAAAAAAAGGCTAATATAAAATAAATCAACAACTCACATTTTTCCCTGGTCAGCCATTGAGTGTGAGTGTCACTTGGAATTTTCTCTCCACCTCCACCGCCACTTTTGCAATTGTTTTTCTCCTCAAACGGATCAAACGATCCTCCTCTCTTGTAAAGAAATCCACCGATCCACCAATGCACAACACTTACTTACTGCCGTAAAGAGATTATTTATACGATATATAAGTGGGAATCATTGGATATTTAAAACGTCACGCTGGAGCCTCGAAACATTGGTGTGGAAAACCCGAGCCGGCGCACACACACTCGATACAGGTGACATCAAACAACATCGCGTGCGCGCGCCAATTCTATCCCATATACACCGTGCAAATTATAGAAAAACCGATCAGGCATCAATTCGGCCAATTATCAACAAGAAATTTTGTCATTCTGCCGATGTTTGAATCACTGTCTCTTTCAAGTTCTATTAAATTCGGGAAGGCGCAATCCCGAGATGCCACTTGTCATTTGCCACTTGTCATTTGCCACTTGCCATTTGCCACAATCGTAAGGGAGAGATATAATCGTTTAGACGATTAATGCGCGCCTCATGCCATTGATTTGCTCCTTTTTTATTCCCTTTTTCTTTTGGCAATTCAATGGCTAAAAATCCCAACAACTATCATCGATTGTCAGCCAAGTCCACCACGTCCAGCAACAGCACCACCGACGCCACCACCATACTCACATTCACTCACTATTCGCACACGCATCACTACAAGCATCCTTAGTTATCTCATTTTTCCCACTGCTTTCTGACATCTCGCGACATCTCGCGACATCTCGCAGTGAGACTATCAAAACTATTGCGGTGGACGTAGATATTTTTTGGTGAGAAAATAGAGAACATCACGAGAGAAACCATAGAGGCCCCAATCAATTCGAATTAGTTGCGGTGTTTAATAAATTTTCAAGTAAATAATAATAATAAAAAATTAAAAAAAATGAGAAATTAATATAAGGGATTATTATTGAGGGTGAGGAACTATGACAAATCCATGGAGCCTTTTTAAGTGTTGCACATTGAAATGTCTAACCTCTTTGCCCTCGGGAGTGTTTTATGAGTCTTTTCGCAGTTACTCGTTTAAAGCAGTCTTCAACATGTACGAGGCATATTTAAGGCATACTCAAGGCCACGATACCTTCAACTTTACCTTTAGGTCAGGCTTGGCAAGTAATCATTTATTTTGTACTATGATTATGCTGGGTATGATGATTGATAATATTGCTACAGGTATGTCGAGGCAGAGTTAAAATTCGATAGAGAGTTTAATTTGTCGAGAAAAGTGAGCGAGAGTGTGGATAGCTTTCTGAGGAGGGTGGACCTTAACATGTGCAAAGTCCTCGACAAGAGGAGGAGGAAGCTCAAGAGGCGTAGAGGAGAGCCGGAGAGTATTGAGCACAGGGACAACGTGGGGGAGGGTAACATTGTGATGCTCAAGGGAGGTAAAAGAGTAGAGGCGGATTTGCCCTTTGCGAGACTCATCGAGGATCCTCGAGATCTCTTGCTCGTTGTCTTTCACGAGAAATACGTCATTAAATTTAACGCCCCTTGGATCACAGAGCTTCAACTCCCTGGGTGCATTCTCGCAGGCTTTCCCCTCTATCCAAGCGCGTTCGAGGCCTTATACACCGACAAGTCCACCTCTAAGTTCAAGTGGTTTAAAAATGGAAGTAGCAACAAGGATAATTCCAAGGGGGAGGACAACTGGGAGAGCATTGGAGAGGGCTTTCTCTATGTTCCCCAGGTTGAGGACATTGGTTGTAGGATCAAATTATCATGTCTTCCTACTAGTGCAAATCAAGAGGGACCTGAAGTACAAGTGGAGGGGAAGAGTGTTGTAGAGGCCGGGCCTGGCGTCTGCCCTTTTGAAATTAGACAAAAATTTACCACCACTAGATTGACTGGAATATCACATTTCAGGATAACCTCGTATAATATATTAGCAGACACCTATGCAAACTCTGATTACTCAAGACAATATTTATTCCCGTACTGTCCATCCTATGCTCTAGCTATGGATTATCGAAAGCTGTTGATTGTTAAAGAGTTAATAGGGTACAATTCAGACATTCTTTGTCTGCAAGAAGTTGATAAAAAAGTGTACGAGTGTGATTTGATGCCTGCCCTTTCCTCTCTCAACTATAGCGGTACTTTTACCACCAAAGGAGATACAAGGGAGGGTCTAGCAGTGTTCTACGATCAAAATCGTTTCCAAATGCTTGATAAAAAGTGCATCGTTATGGGCAAGAATATTGAAGTGAATCAAGCTTTTAGTAGGATTTGGGATAAGATACATAATGAGAAAGCGAGACAATGCTTTTTGGAACGAAACACTTCGTTGCTCATTGTTACATTACAATCTAGGAATAATCCATCGGAGATTTTAATCATAGGGAACACCCACTTGTACTTCCATCCTGATGCTGATCATATAAGACTGTTGCAGAGCTACTTCGCCTTGACTCAATGCCAAAGTATTGTTGAATATAATAACAAAATTCATTCAGGTAAACGTGTTTCATTAATACTGAGTGGAGATTTCAACAGCACTCCTGCCGATGGAATTTATGAGCTTGTGACGAAAAAGCATATTGGTGGAGATCACGTCAATTGGAAATCAAATCCCGAGCAGATAATCGAGAATATTCCCCTCTCTCACACCCTATCATTAGCAAGTGCCTGCGGCACCCCAGACTATACTAATTTCACCGTTGATTTTGCTGACTGTCTCGATTATATTTTCTACCAGACGAATAATCTACAAGTGACTCAGGTCGTTCCAATGCCCAGCAAAGAAGAACTATCATTACACAAAGCAATTCCCTCTATTGTTTTTCCCAGTGATCACGTAGCTATCTGTGCTGACCTCACCTGGATTCAATAATTAATTTTTTTATTTATATTTGGTGGAAAGAAATAAAATATTTCTTACTAGAATTTTTACCTTTTCTTCCAATTCAATCTATACCATAAAATGAAAATAATTTTCTTTTTCTTTAATAAATTTATCTCCGCCCACAAATTATGGCATTTTTTTTTTATTTATTATCATTATTATAACATTTTTCATACAACAATGCATTATTAGTACTGGTGTATGTAGTTTCAATTAATAGCCAAAGATAGTAACGTCAATTTTTGGTTTTATCGACTGTATGCGGTTGTACGTAAGCTCTACAGGGATATGTCCAGAATCCTCGACTTCAAATTCCAAGTGTTCATCTTGCTCCAGTTGGTGTTTTTCGGGCTTGTTTTCGGATTCATTCTCGGATTGTGGTTTTGGTTCGGGCAATTCGGGCTGAGGATGATGATTTTGTGGTTGTTCCGGTTCTGGTTGTGGGTCCTTCGGGTAGTTTGGGGATTTTGGTTTTTGTTTAACAGGAGGTTCAGGCTCATCAGGTTCATGGGGATTTTCAGGTTGTGGCTCTTTGGGGTGGCTAGGGGGTATGGGTTTATGCTTGACAGGAAGTTCAGGGTGGTCAGGGTATTGTGGCTCAGTAGTTGGCTCTTCAGGATGTTTTGGATATTTAGGTTTAGGTTTGGATTTTTCTGGTGGCTCCGGTGGTTTGGGTTCTTTAGGGTGCTTAGGTGGTTCCGGCTTATGTTTCACCGGGGTTTCGGGTACCGGTTCTTCAGGATATTCTGGCACAGGTTCCTGGGGATGATCCGGCTGTTTAGGCGGAGGCTGCTCTGGTGGTTGTGGTGTGTTTGTCGGTTCAAGCCACCACGATTTTTCATTATCATTCCAGTGTGGAGTTTTATAAATTTTTTCTTAAATAACAAAACATTTAATCAACAATTATAATAATTGAGATGGAATTTTAACTCGAAATATTTACCATCACATTCAGGCACATTGTATGGCCAATCACAGACTCGTAGGTGAGGATTGAATGCGGTTCCTGGGCCACAGTTTATGATGAATGTCCTTCCGTTATGGCACTGAATGAACTTGGAACAGTCATTTGGAAATTCTAAGAGTCCACTGAAGTGGTAAATACATCCTGGGTAGTACTGCAATTTACACATGAGAGTAATCCAACTTTTTTTTATTCACAACAACATACATTGATTTAAGCGATTGATTATTTTTTTCTTTTAATTAATATACCTGTCAAGTGTTTGGAGATAGATGAGTAGTATTCAACATTTTTACTAATAATCCATTCAACGGGCATAAGCATTGAAGAACTTTTTTCAAAGCTCACTAAATTTACGATAAAAACATGATTTGATATTTTTCATCGAAAATCAATAATAGCTAATAGGAGCTAAAATCCATGGATTTGAGTTTAAAGATTTACTCACCGCAATTGTCCCCTGCAAACAAATTGCTACCAGAATAAAAAAAAAATAACTGCTAATCCTCTTCATTTCATTCGTAGCGAGCTTGGAGGTGACTACGAAACTCTCACGTCACCTTTCTGTTTTTATCTGACACAGTACTTCCATATCAAGTAAATAATAGCTGGCAATGAATGCCCAATTACAAATTGCGTTGACATTTAATCAATGCCAATACAACGAAATCCCAATCGATAGTGCATTCTCCAGTGGACTGCATTAAATTTATAATAAATTGGCGCAATTGACCGATAAATTTTAATAATATTAAATTCATTGATAATTAAAATTTTCTTTTTCCATATTTAAATAGAGTGAGTTGCAGTATAAATTACAATGGATTCATTGTTACGGATTCATTATCGTTATCACATAATAATTCCTTAAAAATTTTAATATCATAATTCTAATTAATTCATCGGGTTATTAATTAATTGTCGAGATATTGGACAATTTCAGAGACGCACAGCGCAGATTCATCTCTGCAAAAGTGTTCTTAATTACGAAAAAGGTGTGCTCATGGTTTCCGTAGGCTTAAAAATGCGATCAGCAAGGTGAGTCATTCACGCTAATTCTATCATTATTCTAGTAATCATCATCATTTAATTTATTGCTTTATTTGTTGATTTTTTTTTTTTTTTTTTTATTTAAATTGTTCGGCTTGCAGGAAAAGTCATTGTACATTCGTGAAAATTTTACTAAGAATTTTATGAGTCATTGGTTTAATAACACATTTTTTTTTTAAGAGAAAAGGAGTAACAAGAAAATGGTAATAACGAACGAGAGCAGAACCAAAAGGGAAAAAAGTTAGAGTATAGTAGTAAGGAGTTGAGCGACGGGTTGTTTGGTTTTTCGTACAAGGTGACAATAAAATAGGCGCATGCGTATGGTTCCCCTTGCCTTATGTTGACACTTGAAACACAACATACGACATAACAAGCTCCAAACGCTCCAAAATTGATGCACAAGTGTACAGCACAACGTCAGTATATATACATACTGTGGTATGCACTAGCCTATGTATGTGTAGCTGCGGTGGTGATGGAATGGTGGCAAATGGTATATCTTTTTTTTTTTATTAAATTTTGAGGTTAAAATCGTTCAATCATTTTTGCTGCAAAATCATAAAGATATTTTTATTATATATTATTTGAAGATCGAAGGGCAAGGATGAAGTTTCGAAATATGAAGAAGGTGAAAAAACGGGCGATTCAGACGACTCGTAAGGAGAAACGCAGAGAGAAACGCCAGGAGAAGAAGTTGCATCGGGCGCAGTACCACAGCCAGAAAAAACCTATTCCAGGGCAATTCGTCAGAAGTCCTGGACTTGTAACAAAACATATTTGTCAACTTGAACCTCTCAAGTATAATCAAGATAATGTCAGGGCGATCAATGACCAGGAGAGAAAGAGAGTCGAGCAACTTAAGGCCAAGAAGAGGAAAAACCAGTTGCTGAGGGACAACGAACACGAGGATCGGCTGATTCACCAAATGGAAAAGAAGCTCAAGCTCAATAAACGCAAGAGCAAGACAACACCCAAGTCCTTTACTGTCGATGGATTAGATTATTTACTTGATTTTTGCAACGATGAGAATAGACAGTCAGCTGTGGAGAAACAGATATTGGAGGATGCTAGTGATAACTTTGAGGAGGACTTGGCCATGGTGATAAAAAACAAAGGAGAGCGCTTTGAAATATCCTCTGAAGACGATGATGATTCGTGTTCATCAGGTGATTACTCTGACCCAAATGATGAGGAGGAAGAGGTGGAAAAAATGCATTCAAAAACATTTTCAAAATTTCAAGAAATTGGTGAAGAAGACGAAAAAGTGCCGAACGCCTCTCCGAACGCCCCCGGAGAGGGCCCATCCCCTGAAGATGATGACATCTGGGAGGACATTTACGGACGGAAACGGGACAGATCTGGCCAGGTGGTCCTCACGAACACAAGGTATATTCCTCCAGCGGCCCGTCAATATCAGGAGGTATCCCTCCAAGAGAAGGTGAAGATTCAACGCCTCGAGAAACAGCTCAAGGGCCTGATAAATCGGCTAGCAGAAAATAATTTGCAGACTGTTGCCAATGGAATTGAGCAACTCTATATGTCCAACAGCAGGAACAACATGAACCAACTGCTCTTTAAGCTCATGACTGAGTCCATAGTATCTCCAGTGACGACTCCAGACCGTCTAGTCGCAGAGCACATGATGCTTGTGGCTATTCTTCATGCCAATGTGGGGACAGAGGTTGGAGGCCACTTTATCCTCTCCCTCGTCAAAAAGTTTGAGGAGATGCGCCAAGATAAGGGTGAAATAACATTGAGCGAGGGCAGCCAGCAGGTGGAGAACAAGCAAATGGATAATCTCCTCATGATGATTTGTCATTTGTACAATTTTAAATTGTTTGCCGGAATACTTTTGTATGAAATACTTGACAAATTGGTTGAGAGATTTGGCGAGAAGGAGATTGAACTTATTCTTGGAGTTTTGAAAACTGTAGGGTTCGCCCTGAGGAAGGAGAATCCTCTGTCTCTCAAGGAACTCATTATCAAATTACAGATGAAGGCTGCTGGATCTCAGGGATTTAGGGTGTCATCGAGGGTTCAGTTCATGCTGGATATTATCATGGCTATTAAAAATAATAATATGAGTAAAATTCCTCAGTACGATCCCTCTCATGTGGAGCACCTAAAGAAACTTCTGAGGACATTTTTGCGAAAAGGGAGTGTTATTACTCAGTTCAATATCTCTTTGGATGATCTTCTCAAGGTCGATGAAAGGGGTAAGTGGTGGATCATTGGCTCTGCGTGGGGTGGAAATACAGAGTCAAGAGTGAAAGATGAGGTCAACTCGGAACAGGTAATATACAATCAGCGGATTCTGGATCTTGCTAAGAAACAGAGAATGAACACTGATGTCAGGAAGAATATCTTTTGTATTTTAATGACGGCTGAGGATTTTATGGATGCTTTCGAAAAGATTCAGCATCTAGGGCTCAAGGATCAGCAAGCTAGGGAGATTATTTACATTCTGGTCGACTGTTGTCTTCAGGAGAAGATGTTCAATCCCTATTATGCAGTTTTGGCGCAAAAGTTTTGTGATTTTGATAGGAGAAATCAGGTAACAGCTCAAAAATTGTGAAATTCTACTTGTCTTATTTCTCCACTTCCCTCCTATATTTCATTGACTTTTTATTTTCAATTATATATAGATATATATATATATTTCTTTTTTTTCCACAGATGACTTTACAATATTTAATCTGGGACAAATTAAAGGCTTTGGAGGGTTACTCCAACATACAACTGAGAAATTTTGCTAAATTTCTCAGTCACTTGTTTCTAGAAAAAGGCCTGCCGCTGTCTGTGCTCAAAGTCGTAGAGTTTGGTCAACTCGACAAACCGACAATGAGACTCTTAAGGCAAATCATGCTTAATTTGCTTATGTCTGATAATACAGAGAAATGCCTGGAGGCTTTTCAACGAATCTCTGCTTCTTCACAACTGCAGATTTTCAGAGAGGGACTTGGACTTTTTATCAGTCATTTTTTACTGAAAAATGCTGATGTAAAGGCCCTCTCGGAGAAACAATTGCAGATGCTAAGGGAGAGAGTTGGATTGGTAGATAGGATTCTTCAAACTCGTGCTATGAGAACGATTTTGTAATTCGGTAACAGTAAATCTTTCCCAACCACCACTGAGCAAATTTAATGTGTAATATATATATTATATTCTATTTTTTATTTTAAATCGCATTCTGCTCTGAAATGCAGTTTATTAAATTGACCATTGATTTCACATTTATTCTTATCAAAATAAGATTTATATCTTATGCAAAAACAACAGTAGACGTCAACACATTTCCATCAAACCGGATCCATGAACGCAATCAGGTTCTACTCATACCCACACTTAACGGATTTCTCTCATTCTTCAAAAAAGTATCTCATAAATTCTTCTAAAAGGCGGAATATTTTAACAAATATGCATCAAACTAAGAATTTTAATATCCAAATTTTTTTATGCAAGTAATATATTTGCTCTCGTATTTGGGATCCAGCTGGCCTGAGCATCCGTATCCTCCGAAACGATGGATGCGGACAAAGTCATCGCAATTTATCACCCCATCGCTGTTGCAATCCTGTAATGAAAGAGAAAAAAAAAAATTAAAAAAAGAAAATAGATTGGATTCATTGATATGTTCACCTTAATAATATATATGAAATAATAAATGTCTATCGGAATAAATTACTTGGGCGTATTGGTTCATGTAGCCTTGAACAGCTTTAGCACCGCAGAATGGATCGTTGACACATCGAGTCCAAGCTATACGACAAAGAGAAACAATGATGATTAATTGATGATTAGTCATCATTAATTAAAAACTGAAAAGTAATTTGGGAGACACACCTCCAGGTGCACTGGTGGACTCTTCATTGAGGGTGGGTTTGCCAGAGTCAAGCCAGTAAGCCAGGGTTATACGAAAAGGGCCGCAGACATCCCCAGAGCATCCTGAGCTCATGTCACAGCCAGAAGCTGCCTCACATATACACCCCATACATGTTCGACTCATTTGTTGACTCGCTGGGGGAGCTGCTGATTTACCAGAAGACGGTGCATTCTCACCTTAGAAGAAGAAAAAAAAAAAAAAATCAACACAAACATCAAATAAATAAAAGTCAATTACTTGCGACGGCCCAATCATCAGTCTCAAAATGTTTCCTTTCCACGAAATAACGTTTAATTATGGAATTGCCATTGGATTTTTTTCCTCATTTTCAATTCTTTTATAACTCGATTCGCTGATCGTCGAAAAAGGAAAAAAATGCTAGTCGCTTTCAAATTAATTGGCATTGCACCACCTATTACGATCCTATTCTTTCTATTTCCTATATTCTCACCAGTTGAAATTAAAAAATGCGCGAGTCTAGAATAATAATTACCCTTTTATTTCATTTGGAGGTAAATACCATTAATTCACTAACGGGGATGGAAGACTCTGTGGAATAAAATCCTCTTGCTTTTGGAACCGGATCTCTACAACCCCCATCATTTCAATTCTTTTCCTTTGTTCAATGACAGGGTCAAGGTGTACGCGGCATGACGTAGGTTTTACGCCCACTCACATTCCGCCGTTGTTTTTTAAAATTTACTAATAAAGAACAATAGCTAAATTTCCATTGAATCCTACATATCTTTAACAACAAGTAACATTTTCACAAAAAATTTGCGATTTCTTCAATTGGGAATGCATTATCATTTTTTTGTCATTTTTTGTTTTTTAATGTATTACTAACATGGTCATGAAAAAAACTTACCTAAACAGGATGACACCAGAATAATAGCGCAGATAATAATTCTAGTAGTCATAATTGGCTTTTTATTCAAATTTCTTCACTTTAAAAAAGGTGAGAGAAAAATATACTGAAATCACTAGTGCTAGAAAATTGCAACTATTCACCGGTTCGGAGTGGATCTCGTCTTATATACTGATGTCCCTGAATGATGACGAGTCGTTGGTCCAGTCGGTGGGAGAATCAAGAGACAGGGATTTGGGTAGGAGAAACAAGTGGACATGAAAACAAAAAAACAAAAATTACTTTGTGTCCGCCCTAATGAAATGAATAAAATCGCCAATTTCTTGCTGGTATATTTCCCCTTATCGACAGCTCTCAACGTTAATAATAAGCTTGAATAAACCGGATATGTATCATCGACAATTGGGATATTTTGTTTGGCAGATGAGTAATTTTTCTGAAAAACTGCGGATAAATATGAGTAAAAACCCGAGATTATATAATGATAATAAAATAGTCATTTTGTGCATGTGAATGATTATAATTATTGTTACTAACTATAGATAGACTTTTTCATGTTGAAAAATTGAATTTAAATACTTAATATTATTTTATTTTATATAATTTTATTATAAACCATTGGTGAAATTGTAAGTCACTTGAATTAATTGGCATAATTAATTTAATAATGTATTATTTCATTGTTTATTGTCGACAAGTGATACTTCAAGGCTAATTTAAATAATTGAAGCAGATATTACAAACAATTAATATGCCTTTATTCGAGAGTAAAAGATGAAAGTAGTTTATTTAGATTTTATTGAATGCAGCAATGTCCGCAGATTGTACGTGTTCCTCGAAGTCCTGGATTTTTTCGACGAGCTCATCGACAGATACCTTGTCATCCTCAACGACACAAACTATCTGGAGCTTCTTGATTCCATAGCCCACTGGCACCAATTTTGCTGCAATTAATAAAAATTTTTCAATATTACCATCTTAAATGGTGATTTCGTTGCTGTTTATCTTGAGGTAAACAAATGCTCTGCTCATAAAATCATAAAAGACTTACAAACTCCCCAGACAAGACCATCCATTTCAATTGATCTAACAGCTTTCTCCATGGCTTTAAGGTCTGTTTCATCATCCCAAGGTTTGACATCAATGATGATGCTGGACTTGGCGATAAGAGCGGGCTTCTTGGCTTTCTTCTCGGCGTAAGCCTTGAGTCTCTCTTCTCTAATTCTCTCGGCCTCTGCATCCTCCTCCTCATCAGAGCCGAAGAGATCAACCTCATCGTCATCGTCGTCTTTCTCAGCGGATTTGGCAGCTGGTGCACCTGGTGCACCTCCACCGAGAACAGATGGGGCCTTTTTTTCACCCGGAAGTTTCTTCAACTCGTGGGACTTGATGTGATTGTACCATCTGAGAACGTGGGGATTCGCTGGGCTTGGTGTCTTTCCAAGAGCCTCGTACACAGCTACATCGGCCTGAGTTGCCTGATATCTGCATTAATAACCAACTTTACCTCATGTTATCACTTCGTTGCTGAGTTCATTAACTAATTGTTTACTAATTGTTGGTGATAAAATAGAAAAGACCCGGTGAATGGCATGTGAATAAAAATTTTGAAATAGAAATAAAATGACGACAGCACGACAGCACGACAGCACGACAGCACGACAGCACGTGTATGCAATGGGGATCATTGAGCTTGAATGGTGATGATTACCAAGAATGACTTACCCTTCAATGTAGCTCCGGTCAGCGAGATAAGTGTCGAGGTCCTTGAGACCTTTGGGGGTTTTCAAGTCGTCGATGGCCATTGCAATGTGATCTTTTGCTTGAATAAAAACAAATTGTCGAGACTGCACCTCTCTCCTTCACTCGAAAGAAATCGGAAAAGGGACAACCAGGGGCAACAACAACATAGACGGTGTGATGTTATTCCGGTTTCATCCATCTGGTGGTCAGAAGCGACATTAGACCAGAGACAACCAAGAAATGACAAATCCCCTCTAGTCAATTGGTGTGAACTATGATTAACTCTCTAAACTCTAACAACGACACAGTGCCTAACCTGAAAAAACATTTTCAAGCTAATGAATGGTAGCACAATAGAACATAAGAAAAATTAATTAATTAATAAAGGCATATACGTCTTAGGAAAAATCTTGACCGTCTTGACGTCAACGATGGCAGCTTTAATGAAAAAACGAGTTTTGGCTGAATTCAGTCAAAACCAGGTACTTGGAACAATTTTTCAATTCTTTCGTCGGGAATTATTTAGAATTCTCTTTATATTTTAATATTTAATATTTTCTTAAAAAATATTAAATAGCCGGTGAATAAAATAAATGGCAAGTACTAAATGATAAATTAATTGTATTGTGTAGACGACAAGTCTGGAACCTCCTTTGAAGCGGTTGCGGACACTGCGCCTTTCCTCGAAACCCTCGAGTTCTGATGGAAGTTCAGCCCTGGCGTATGTCGAATGCTTGGAAAAATGCAAAGGAGGTAACGATGCCCTACAACTACTCGTTCGGCTCTCGGATACGCTCTCAGGAATGTCTTCGGAGGACGTACCATTAACAGTGAGAAAACTTATCGAAAGGTTTCACCTGGAGATAGAGGCGCCAGTGCGTGCAAAGATCCTGTGGGTACTGGCAGAGCTTGGCCAGGTGACTACTGAGCCGTTGGAAAAGACGAGTATAATCGCAGAGATATGTCGATTACTACGCTCAGAGGAGTCCCACAGAGTAAAGAGCCAGGGCCTCTCAACTCTTTTCAAGTTGGGAGAGTTTAACAGAATTGAGGTACTTAAGGCGGCGAGGGAGCATCTGCACGACACGTGGCACGGGGTCCAGACTCGATGCCTAACCATTATTGGGAGATTTCTCATGCCAACGTCGTCAGACGACACTTTGACATTGGTGGGAAATTATGCGAGATCCCAGGATCCGAGGGTGCGAGCTGCAGCTTTCGAGACCACCGCTGAGATACACACTCAACGAAACTGCAAACTACCCCCGAGTTTTTTCACTGAAGTGTGCAATGCCCTTCGAGATGATTATGAGATCGTGAGGAGAGCAGTCCTCAAACTCATTTGGATTCTGGGCAATGAGTATCCGGAGCACATAATCATTGGTCAGGATGGTGAGGACATTAGAATGATTGACTGCGCATTTTCAAAGGTCTGCGAGCTCATGGGAGACCTTTCACCCAGGGTGAGGGCTTCTGCTATGTCACTGATGGGCTCGATGAAGGGTGTTACCCAGAGATATATTGAACAAGCTCTCGATAAAAAGCAGAAACGAGTGGAGGACGAGGGCTTGGAAATGGAGGAGCGAAGTGCAGCCTGTGGGGCCTTCATTCACGGTCTTGAGGATGAATTTCTCGAAGTGAGGACCGCGGCGGTTGAAGCTCTTTGCACTCTCTCCCTCGAGCAGCCAGGCATCTCCAGGATCACTCTAGATTTCATGGTGGACATGTTCAACGATGAGATTCAAGATGTGAGAATTAGAGCGATTGAGTCCCTTAGAAAGATGTCAGCTAATGTGACTCTCCAGGAGGACCAGCTCGAGACAATTCTCTGCGCGTTGGAGGATTTTTCAGACGAAGTGAGAGAGGGATTACACGCGACCTTGGCTGCCAGTAGACTGGCTACCAGAAATTGCCTTCACATGTGTGTCAATCGACTGGTGGATAATCTGACGAGATATCCACAGGACAAGGACAGTATCAGAAGTTGCCTGGCAGCTCTGGGTGCCTCTCATCCCTATCTCACTCTTCCCCTTGTCCCCCAGCTGTTAGGGAGACATCCTTTTTTCGATACCCCAGAGCCAGACGTTGATGAACCGTCTTACGCTAGTCTTTTGGTGTTAATTTTTAACGCTGCATTGCACTGTCCCAGTATGCATGCACTCTTCTCTGAGCATGCTGCCAAGCATTATCATTATTTGAGGGACACGATGCCACACTTGGTCCCCAGACTGAGACCCGCTCTGGTAAATGCACCTGTAGTCAGTAGCCATGAGAAAGTGGTGGTGGATGAGGGTGCGAAGGACAGGGAGAGAAGGGGTAGAGATTTCTTCGAGAGAATGGCCAATGGAGTGGAGAATGCACGGCCCGGTGGCAGGGTTTATATCCAGCTGCTAGAGGCTGCTGCTCTCGATTTAGATAGACTCGCTGAAATGGATAGCACAATGGAAGGGGCCGCCCACTTCACCTCCTTGTATATTCGATCCCTATTGCTTCTACAGACTGTTGTCAGAGAGACTGCCGCTGAGGCACCTGGAGATATCAGCGCTACGGGTCTTGCATCCTCTAGCAGCAATATTGCTACTCTTCTAAAATACACTCAACAATTGCAAAGGCTCTTCACAGGTCTTGAGGAAGCTGATGTCGCTCTGGCCACTGATGTCTGGTTAAAGGCCCTCGCTGTTGAACTAATTAGAGTAACCAAGAGGGCAACAGGTAGTGCTTTACCACTTGCCAAACATTTTCTCTCCGAGGCTGATGGTCTACCCCAGGATACTTCAAGGCTACCACCCTTCTCTAGGCAATTGGTCATGGAGATACCATCATTGGGTGAGGCCAAGCCTGGCAGTCTTTCCAGATTGTTGCTCCCTCTGTTAACGGGGCCTCTACGTAGAGGGGACGAGAGGCTGCCTAGGCCCTCAGCGAGGACTAGACTCTGTCGAGCTCTCATTGAGGAACCCAGGGGTGACGCCGATGCTGCTCTTAAATTCACTGGGGGACTGCTCCTGGGAATTCCTCTCACTGCCAAAATCATAAATCTCAAAGATCCCAGCGCGATTAGAATCAAACTCAGGCATCCCGATCAACAGGTCCAGCTGCTTCTCCCTTGTAAGGCCGATCTTAAGCCTCAAAATGCCGCTCAGGGCCGTGATTACAGACTCAGGACCACTGTTTTATTGTCTCATCAGGTCTGGATGGAGGCGTGCAATGTCGAAATTTCTATAGCCCTTGCTGCACCATCAACATTCGCCTGTACTCATTCACCTAATGACGATCCTTGTATTCTTGAACTTTGTAAACCCACCAAGGTGGCTATTGCTCCTAAGCCTGTTAAGAGGGCTATTTAAATGAGATTGCATTAATAACATTGGGGTAATGTGATCGTTTGTATTGATTGATTTTTACCTTTCGATTTTATTTATTTTTAAAAAATAATTGGAATAAACATGAGAATTATTCTTTGTACAGATTGTTTGTTAATATGAAAATATTATTTATCCTTCAATAATAATTTTGTCTATTTTTCTTTCAGTAGGAAATGATTACATAATATTACTTTTGATGCTATCAGCAGGAGCAATGTACGCGAGGCGGGGATGGATGCAACTCAACACAGTCAACTGACCACACGGCAATTGGCCACAGGTTTTTAAATATCGTCAACTGGCCACAACAGTGAATTGTAGATGGTGAGGCGTTTGACCAAATGGCACTTGGAAAATTTCCAATAAAAATTCACCATTCACGCAACAATGAAAATTCTAGGAAAAGGTGAAGGGATTTGAGTTACGGGGCCCGCCGCGATTCATAATAAGCGTGAGTTAGCCCTCGGGGCGTGATTTTTAATTTTTTTCACTTTTTGACCAAGTGGCACTTGGAAAATTTCCAAAAAAAATTCATCATTCACGCAATAATGAAAATTCCAGGGAAAGGTGAATGGATCTGAGTTACGGAGGCCTCCGCGATTCATAATAAGCGTGAAGTAGCCCTCGGGGCGTGATTTTTAATTTTTTTCACTTTTTGACCAAATGGCACTTGGAAAATTTCAAAAAAAAATTCACCATTCACGAAATTAATA